CTGAAGCACTGGTATCATTATGTTTCCTCTTTTTCGAGGAGTGACTCGAAGTGCAGTTCTCTTACTTTCCACCTCTGGGAACCGGGTTCAAATCTCGGTCTACCCGTGCGGAATTTCCAGTGGACTAGCGGGTTTGCGGCAGGTCTTCTTTGAGTTTCTGTGTGTTCTCAAATTTACCCTGCTCTTCATTCCACATTTGCATTATCGTCATTACGTTTTTACAATAATCGCCAATCTATCAAAACATTCATCGACTGCAATTGTAAGGCATAAGAACAATCGTAAAGATTATGATAAATAAAGATTGTTTGCCCTTTTTCGAGGAATGACTCGAGCTAAATTTCTCAGATCTGTCTTTGGTTACCGTGGACACATCTCGGTGCATACTTAAATTTGTGGTGGAGGAAGCGGGTTCGCGGCAGGATTTTCTGGGTTCTCCCGTTTCTCCTTTCTCTCAATCTAGCATTGCTCCATCCTCATTCATTTCATTACGTTAATCGCTAATCCGTCAAAACATCCATTCCGGATATGACTGCACGACTTCGGCATTGGCACTGAAATAAAGATTGCTGTCTTTTGAAGCGCAGTCGTCAGATCAATCACCTTCCACCCCTGGATACCTTTGAGTTCAAATCCCGATCCATCACGTCCGGTGAACTAGCGGTGGACAAACTGGGTTCGCGGCTGGTTTTCTCTGGGTTCTCCAGTTTCCTCCGCCTCTTTAAATTTGCTTCATCGCCATTCATTTCCTTACAGAATATTCGCCACAGCATTAAAGTCATTCCTACACCTTAAGGATGACTAGAGAACTTATCGACTGGTTTCCAACTAAAGATATATCAATATGGTTGTTGAAGACGCATGATGTACTACCGGTCAGATCTGTTGACTTGTACTTATGGGAACCTGGATGCGAATAACATAGGCCTCTTATAGAACTTTTTAATTGTTTTAACGCCAAAAAACAGTTAAAACGTGTGTGACGTACAACTGGGAAAAGTGTTTCGTGTGAAAGTTTTCTTACATTTTGGAATTTCTACTCTAACCCATATACAAGTTGAAATATGATTACAGGTAGCAAGGAGTACTTTTGGCAAGAATTAGTAACAACATTTTCACTCTCGTGTAATAAAAAGGATTTGCAGAGGAAAATCAGTTACAGATGGTGCCTTTACCGTGCGCTTCGAGAAGAATCGACTTATTGCCGCAAGAACTTGGAGACCGATCATTTGAATGAATATATTCCCCACTGAACTCTGTAAAACGTGCATAGGTAGTGAAGTTTCATTTATGCCCACAAGCAAAACAAGGGACCATTTCAGAAGATGCACAATGAATCAGAGAAACTGGACTGCAAACTTCGAAATCGAGATGGGGTGGAAACTTGTGGTAGATAAAGAGTGTAAGCGGAAGCTTCTCTCGTTTTCCATATCTCTCATGCCACAATTCATATCACATTAATACGTATTATTAAGGTTGTAACTCAAACTTCATAGTTTTCGAGGTGTGCCAGTTTTGGGAAGCATGAACGATATTAACGTCCTTTTAAGGTGATGATTATTCGGACTAATTGGGTCTGATGCACACATAAAATGCTATCCTCAATAGTATCTAACGCTTCTTTCGGGATCAAGCCATATTATCAGTATTTATGCTGCCAAATGAGATCTTTTTGCATTTTCCCTCGTTATGGGTTCATTCAAAAAATACAAGGTACTGAAGGGAGTCCATTTAAAAATTATCCAATAAAAAGGGTGGGAAATTATTGAACCTGCAGGTGAATGGAGAGTAATTTAATACACAAATGTGTCTAGTTTAAATTTGTATATAAAAAAGACGAAAAGTGACTCAAAAATCTTTTCAGCGATAAAAAAACTTTACTGACTTAATTTACTGTCTTTTTTGCATCACCATTTAATTATTTATTCGTCTCACATTATATTTTTATACTTTTTATCAACAGCAAAGAATTTCATGAGTGAATTTGTTTCAAAAATGCACGAAGACATTGGGTTAGAAAATAACGATTGTTGTACAGGTATTTGTTGAAATAATCCTAATCTCCCTCTAAAATAATGTCAAAACAATTGTGAAGATACGAGTAATCACGAAGTACTATTTCCAAAACTCAATTATAACGAGCACGAACCAATTGAATGGTTTAATGTAATAGCCACAGGTAAATGCATCAATATTTACAAAGGGAAAACAGTATACAATTGATTTAAATATTCTTATTTTGATGATGCACTACAATAATTTACACGAAGTAAACTTTTTTCCTTCACTGAACAAAAATTAAAATCAAATACACATGTAAATTAATAAAACTATTAATTTAAAATTGGAAAGAGGTTTGTGGATATTTATTATAGATTTGATATATAATTTAAAAAAATAATAGTGCGAGTAGATTTGCTAAAATTTGTAAATCGCTGACTAATATCGCCACCTCGTATTATCAGATTCTAGGCAAATTTCTCATGGTATTTACACTCATTAGCATATATTCCATCCTTTATTTCCTTGTGTCTGGCAAAAATAATGACTTCATTCTCTAATGGTAATTAAAATGTAATTAACTGATAATAAATATTTAAAAAAATGAAAATTTCAGATTATGACGTCTTCTTTGCAGTATCGTTATAACAGTGAGAAACGTGTTCCACATAAGAAAAATGGGCTTTCGGAAACAATTTTTTTAGTTTCATGAGTACAATATTAATTATTTTCTAAACATGACCATAAATCAGGACTATAACTAATTTTTATAGCGTCATTTACTTTTTCAAAAATAATTGTTGAAATAATTGTATTAAAAACTCATATTGTTCTTCCAGAATTCGAAATATAATATAATAAATATAATGTTATGGGATTTTAATCTAATTAAGAAAATTAAATTGCATCGTGATCTCGTAACATTTAGGCATGACAACACGAGAATAAACTTCGCCATATTCTCAGTAAATGTCTTGTCTAATTGAATACGAATTCACAGTTTCACGACGTCAGCCAAGACTCATTCCAAAATTTCCACCCTGCCCCCCTCTGCATTCACGCTCGATATCTGGGCATCCCTTCACTCCTGCAATTCACAAGGGGAGAGCAATGGAATACCTCTCTCTGAGAGCTATGAAGGGAGACAGCTATTTATTCACGGTAGGTGCGTGCAGAGACGGAGCTCACGGTGGCGGCGGCGGCGGCGGCGGCGGCGGCATCCCGGCACTCGGCCCCCTACACGCGATCCACCGCCGCCGCCGCCGCCGCCCCCGCCGCCACCGCCCCCTGTCGACCTCGTTGACGGAATGACAGACGTTATAATCTGGAATGCTCGGACAGGCTACAGCATTTAACTCGGTAACCTAGCAACCGGACAGCCGACTGTCGTTTGCACGTGAAGGTTCGTCTCTCTATTAAAAGATAATCCAACACGGCTTCCCGCAGAATATTAATACCCCCGGCCTCCCCGCTGGGTAACAGAATTCGCGTCGTCTCTTTTGCAGACAACTCGCACGTCATTTCGTTTCTGATGGGCGTATAAAACGCGGTGGACAGAGGTTTGGCTGACCCTCGCTGTGATTGTCCTTTTTCAGTGATTTGAATGAACTTCCCTTTACGGTTATTATAAAAAAATTCGGAAATTGAAAAATAAAAATGACATTCCTGTATAGGCAGACTAAAAATACCTAAACCTGTCAGGTTCTGTGAGTTATTTATCATATATACAAATTAATTTTATAAATTAATTTCTATTCTCCTAGAAATAAGAATGTCAATATACTTTAACAATAGTAATAATCATAACAATAATAATAATAATAATAATAATAATAATAATAATAATGTCTTCAAATTAATTGGGCCCAATAGAAATGACGTTGATAATACGAACCGAGGTATTAGGATGTAGGTCCTATGGAAAATAAATGATCAACACGGTATAAACGGGAATGAACTATACAAATACTAATAAATTAGATTACTGAAAAATGAGTAATTACATATACTATAGTAATGTTGGTTCAATATTGAAAATTCGTTGTTTTAATGTTTATTTCATTGAGTTTTTACACTCAAAACAATCTACAAGAAACTATGAAAGAAAGAAAGAAAGAAAGAAAGGTAGGTCTATTATTCATACCAGTTTACGAATATAAAATTAATATATTATTGCAAAGGATGAAATTTAATTAATTCTAAAAAATTGCAATATTTAAACGAATACCTCAACTAAGTAATAATACAACTAAATTTCATTGATGTACTACTTTACTCAATGTTCAATATGAAATTAAAATTAATTGAATAATTATATTGCCGTTAATTAAAATTATTGAAACGTGCTGTAATGGGTTTAGTATCAAGTAATTAAAATTTAGGAATGCATTTATCCAAATTATAGTAAAAATTGAATCCGCTATTTCTAAATTAATTCTAACAGCAATAGTTTTTACGCCAAACCAATTAACGGATGAATTCAATAATGATTATGCTAGATAATAATGAATTTTGTTTACTACAATTTTATATTTGTTGCAATAATAATTTATTGCAGACACTCTAAACAAATATAAAATAACAACATTGCACAGAACATTAAAAAAAGTTCACTGCAGAAATTTGTCACGTCACAAAAGAAAGAGCTAGAACCAATCAGCTTTCAGATTTTGAAATGGCGCGCTTCTTGGAACTGATGATAAAACAACGAAAAATAATCGTCGGAATCACATAAAACCACACATAGGTTGATGTATTCTTAACAGAAAAAAACGCGTCATTCAAACACAGTAATTGATTCTAAACGACGTCATTAAAAACATATTTTATGAAGTGTATATTCGAGTACACAGTTCTTCACAGACGTTTGAGGCCTGACAAAGACCTACTCATTTACACAAATGTATTAAAAGAGAGATATCTAAATAAGAAATTTATGATGTACAGAGACAACTCACTACACCACGAGAGGAAAGCTGTCGCAAACTCCACCCACTCACCTCTGCCGCTGCGGCCGACGAAGCGCAGGTCGTTGAACTTGGCCACCTGGTTCTTCATGACGGCGGTGCTGTTCCTCAACTCGGCGCAAAAGTTCTCGTCGTTGCCCGCGCGCACCGTCACCAAGGTGCCGTCGAGCACGTCGCCCAGGGCCACCACCTTGAAGGCGACGGGCAGCGTCTTGTTGGAGCGCCAGTGCGGCGGCAGGACGGTGCAGACGAAGTGCGGGCTGCCGGTGCGCACCAGCTCGCCCGGGTGCTCGGACAGGAAGTCGCCGAGGGTGCGCTCGGCCAGGATGTCGGACGTCATCTTGGTGTAGGTGTCGGCCAGCACGGAGCCCGCGGCGCTGTCGGGCGACGCGGCGGTGGCGGCCGCGGCGCCCGTCGCCGCCGCGGGGGCCGCCGCAGTGCGGCCGCCGTGCTGCCTGTCAGGTGCATGTCCCCGGCGCGGTCCCACCCGGCCGCCCACCGCCGCTCCCGCTGCCGCTGCCACCGCGCCCGGTGCTCGCGCCGGCCCGCGCGGTGCCCCGCCGCTCTGATGGGGTGATGATGGTGGGTGGTGAGTGGCGTACCCGTTGCAATCACCCGGCCGCCGTGGCGGGCCCCACGCTGGCTCCGCTGGCCTGCGCCGACGTCGCTCCCGCGGCCCCGCGCGCGCCGCCGCCGCGGCCTTGCTGCTGCCCCAGAGCGGCGACGCCGTCGCTATGGCGGCAGCCGGCGGCGGGGGCACGCTCCACACGCACTGCTCAGCAGGTGACAGCGCCGCGCGCGCGCCGGCTCACCATGGCCAGCCACCGCCTACCACGCGCGACAGACCATGCGTGGCTGCCCACCCTGACCACCGGCGCCGCTGCTGCCCGGCGTCACGTCCACCGGCCCCGACCCCGCGCCGGCATGCGCCGCCGCCGCCGACCACCCGCGGCCCCGGCGCGCGCGCGCGTCTCGCACCTTGTTGAGAGCTTGCTGCGGCTCGCGAGTCTTTTTCTGTTCCGCGTCGGCGGCGTCCCCTCACATCACTGCCCAACGAAGTTAAGCAGCACCGCACTGCGCCGCGCCGCACAAGCTGCCGCGCCGAGCGAGAGAGAGGAAGGGGGGGGGGCGCGGCGCGGCACACAAAAAGCGGAGGGTGCGTGCGTGTGTATGTCGTGGCACCACGCGCGCGCGGCGAGCGATGGCGAGAGCGGTCGCTCGCACAGTGTGTGCAGCCCACACAGCGCACACGCGTGGTCGCACGGGCGTCCAGGGTACAACAACACGGGGTCCGGCGCGGCCGCGGCGGCGGTGGCGGCGGCGGCGGTGGCGCCGGGGCAGGGGAGGGGAGTCGGCGCGCGCACGGTGCGGCCGCGCCCGCGGCTGAGGGAGGGGGTCCGCCGGCGAGGGGGCGGCGGCGGCAGGACTCCCCGCAGGCAACCGGCGCGCCGCCGCCGCCTCCACCGCCGCGCGGCTACCGCCGCCGAGGGCCGCCGGAGCGCGGGTCTCGGGAAGCACCACCGACAAAACACAAAACAAGCCGCCCCCGCGCCCGCCCTCGCACCGCGGCGCGCGGGGCGCAGCGGGCCCCGAGATTTTTTTTAAGCCGGCCGCGCCGCTCGCCTCTCCCCCCCCCCACCACCCGTAAGCAAGAGAAACCACCCGCTTTGGGCTCACGGCACAATCGAATGCCACGCCGCCGCCGCCACTGCGGAAGCCGGAGACCGCCGCACGCCGCCCTCGCGCGCGGCGACAGAGAACACGGGGCGCACCGCGCGGCGTAGGGGATGACCGAGATGCGCGGGGCGCGCGGGCGGTTTTTCACACCCCTCCTCCCCACCCCTCGCCTCCGTCTCTCTCTGGGCTCGTTACCCTCTCCGTCGCCGGCGGTCCCGTCGGGGTCTAACCGTATACGGCGGGCAAGGCAGTCCGCCGCCGCCGCCGCCCGCCGCGTTGGTGGGGGGAGATCGCGCGGCGCGGAGCCGTGCGGCGCTCTCACAGATGCCGGCGTGGACACGGCGCGCCTTCCAGGGTGGAGGCGGCCGCCCGCCCCGCCCAAGAACGCCGGCGGACCGCGCCGAGCGGGCCCGAACGCGGCGGCGCCGCGCGCGGCGCGCGGCCCCGCGATCGCGGCGTGCGCCGCCTGCCGGGCCCCTGCGGAACGCCTTGCTCGCTGCGCCCCGCGCGGGGACAGACCCTCGACGGCCCGCGTGCCGTTCATGCGACCTCGCCACGACTCGCGCCTCTCGCGCCGGGGCTGGGCGATGTTTGCCTTTCTTCTGTCTAATTGATTAGTCGCTGTAGCTCTCGCTCTCTCCGCGCAGTGATTCGGGTCGTTAAACGGTTTGTTGCAGTCGTTCCGCGTTGCAGGCGTTTAAGTGGTCGCGTTTCGAGCGGGAAGGTGCTGTAAATCGTATTGTGACGCAGGTTTATTCTAGGCGTGACGGGTCTGCCGTAAGATGAAGATCCCGTGCGATGGCTCGTTTTTTGGATTGTGTTCTGTTTGAAGTTGAACGGATGGATTTGTTTGCTCGTTTAGCGCAAGATTTGTGGTGGTGTGTTTGATGCTTGCCGCGTTCGTCTGGTAGTTTATATGTCTCTTTGCTGCTGTTCAAATGTAATTTTATTTTCTCTTCTCCGTGTGTTTACATTTCATCTTTTCATACTTTGAAATCACATATTACACAAGAAATGAAGTGCGTCACACAAGGCTTTCTAATTGGTTCCACTTCTTTTTATTCACTGAATTATTAGTAGTAATAAGGTTATTTGATTTCTATGACCATGTCTTATCTCTATTGGATCTCTGGGGCACTTATGATTAGAGAAATGTTTTCAAGAAACTTCGTTTTTATTTTCGAAATTTCCTAGTTTTTTTTATGTGACTTATTTTACTCATTAAACTTTGGCATGACTTAAAACATTAATCTCCTTATGATGCCCATTGGAAAATATTGTTCTACTTATAGTTTAAGTGTATTTCAAATTTGTTATTTATAACGAAACACTGGACCAAATATTTATCAAAAAATTGACAATGTTAAATAGTAAATGTAATTAAATTTCTAAAATAATGACTTCATCTACACTCGCGAGATACTTTTTATGTCAAAGGTGATTAATCTTCCTGCCGAATAACGCGTTTTTAATACTTACTTTTAATGAGATAATTAGATACATTTATTGAAATTTGTAAATCTTTTATTCATATTTTACAATACTACTGGCATAAGAAACTAATGTATATATTTTTACTTATGTTATTGTGATTTAAATGACTGATGTCGCAGATTTTTCCTTCGGAGAAATGCAAAACAATTTGATGAAGATTCCTGATACCACTAATGAAACCGCTAACCGCGATTGATAGGTACCGCTAATCAAATGAGTAATTTTAACATGATTCTTCCTTATCTTTACGACTGAAGTACGACTACTTGTCTCATCTGGAGAAGAAAATAACTTGTGTCAATGTATGCGTGGAAAGAAAATTAATCTGACAATCGTTCAATCCATTAACCACTAGCACACTTGAAGGCTGTCTTCTTCTGTCTCTGTCTCTTCTGTCTTCAAATATTTACATATAAATATATTTATTTTTTACACAACTTCCTCGATGTAGTCTTTCCTAGTAAAATCGAATTTTTACAATTAAACTAGATCTTTTTTACCATTTACAGTTAAAAAGTGAAAATGTTGCTTTCTTTATCTCATTTAATGTTTAAAATTTAAGTAAATATTACAAATTGAAGAAAATATAATTATGATGTATGTTTAACTTTATTTTTTTTTAACTACGGATTTTAAGTATATTTTACAACTAATAGTATCTCTACACTTGTATTTTTTATATGCTTATTTTAGTGTGTTAATATTTTCACCAAATAAAATAAGTTACGGGGATTATTATTAAGTAAACCTGTGAGTGAAAAACTGTTGATATTAGTTTAATTTCCCTTTTGACAAAACTGTTCGTTAAAAATTGGGGGGGAAATTCTCACCATACTAATCTTATGTGAAATTAGGTTTAAGTCTAATTTCTTTTACACTGTGTGTATATATCAGAGAAAGAACGTTTTCTCGAATACGAAAGATACTCTTAAAAATATTTTAGTGATGCCCAATCCTATTTAAAACAGTTCTTACTTTCAAATTATTCTCAAAGTTGGAAGAGATCAAGAATCACACGACTTTCGCTGGAAATAACGCTGCATTGTCAGCTGATCAAAGAGCAAAATTCGTGTATGCGATGTCTTCCCTTTAAATCAACCTTGGGGTAGATAACTAAAACAGGGATAGTAATCACACAGTAAGAGCGCAAAATTACAGTACTCTGACGCTGTTGGTTTAGCGGTTGGGTCAACCGAATTCGACACTATAATGTGCACATTGTGGTCAATACCGACTGTCCCCACTGGTTGATTATGTGTCCATTCGCTCTATTATTTGTGATTGTGGATAGAAAACAAGGAAAGCAACCTTTCTCTGCAGAATCATACACAATACTGATAAATCCAATGTTTCGAACGCAATTCACTAGCCTGATTTGTAAACTTATGTTGTTGTTTTTCAAATGATGTTTATCATTGTACTTATTTATAATTTAAAACGTTTTTTATTAATGAAGACTTAAATAGAATAAATTAAAACAGAGAAAAAAATATGTTGAAAAACAGTGAAGTACAAATCATATTGCTAGGAATCATAGAAGAATACTATAAAATTATATTACTTTTTTATTCTCTTAAGTGTAAAAGATAACACACTACAGTTACTATCTTAATCATGCATAATCGAAATTATTATTAAACGTTAATCGTTTTTTAAACGAAAGTCTGGCAAATGTCTTGGGTTCAAACTCTACTTTCCGAGTTGACAGATGAAGTAACTCATCATTTTATGTATGAACATACTTTTTGATAGTAAAAGTGAAAAGTAAAGAACGACCAACATGAAAGTATTAATAAAACACGTACAATTAATCTCCTTTGATAACAAAATTTTATTTATTTAGGAAGCGTTCACCATAATTATTCTGCGTCACAAGTATTTATATTCCATGTCTGTCAATTGAAATGGTGACCACAAAAATGTCATAAATGGACGAAATATGAAAAAGTATCAAAATCACGTTCATTATCCTATATAATATTTCCCAGATCCGAACTTTCCTATTTCGTAAAGTAATTTCCTTTTGTGTTAAAGAGGAAGTTGATCTGAAATGAACGTGTTCAAAGGGTATATTTCATAAATTATACATAGAATAAACAATTGAAACAAGTTATGATGAATTCTTTTCAATAATGTATCAACTTTGTGTCATAAATGTTCTAAGAGACCATTATAAATCATACATCGTTATCTTTTTTCTTGGGTTCTAAACAATCTCTATCACAGTTTGTTATATACTGAGAATCTTTCTAAAACGTTTTCTTGGTTATATTTTTATCAGCAAAAATGCCGAAAAATTAAATGAAATATTATTAAATAACACACACACTGAATATCTTGAATCAAATTTATATAGTTCAGAAAATAACAAATCTCATCAAGTAACCTTCTAATAAACTACGATAAAAAAACTGGGAACCAAGTTCAAACATAGTATTAGACACAATGAAAACATTTCCAATATGCGGTTTAAAAACAACGATGCAAACTGCACTTCTAGAAGAATGGAAGCTAGCAAAAAACTGGGTCACTCAGAGATATTTTCACAGGGAATGCGAGGTATACTTCCGGAAATTGGGTTGTGGGTGACTAGAATGATATTAACTCACTCATATTTCCCACATGGACCCACACGTTTCGTAGAAACTCTTTTGCTCTTCATTTTTATAGCGTTTTAAAGTCTGCACAAACGAATATTTTGAATTACGGCAACAACGTATAAAAGAATTAAAATCTTGTAACTGCTGAAAACAGCTTCTTTAAAATATAATTTTTTTTCTGTTGTTATTTTTTAAAGTGAAGACGCAAAGCGTTCTGTTTGTAGTGTACTATTGAGATAATTCAAATTACAAAACGTACAATATAGAAGGGAAGAAGTAAATCATTACTAAATCACCTTTTTAATGGCAATGCCAACAATTATGAAAAAGAGGAAAAATATGCCTGCAATAATGACCAAAATGACAAAAGAACCCAAAACGATATCTCATCAGAACATCGTGGTACGGATAATGTGCACACTAGAAAATTCTAGAGTTGACAGACTGGGTTCAGAGTTCTAGAGTTGACAGACGAGGCGATAGCGTGGGCGGGAGGCTTCGAAAGAAAGCAATAACCCTCATATTAGTTATATTAATTGAGAAGTAATTAAAAGGAAGTAGGGAAATTAACTTAATAGATAGGAAATAAAGTACCCCATTAGTAAATATTTATTTACCCAACTAGAAAAGAAAGTGATTTGCCTTTGGTATAAGTTTTTGTTATGAGAATGAAACGTTGTCGGACGCTTTCTCAATATGCGAGGTGACAGTCATATTAATTTCCGCCAGTCTTTTGTTTTTGTAGCAAGCGGTTGTCTCGTGCGGCCATAAATGTTCGCGGTACGTCTTCGGCAAATTTTGCCGCTGTCATTCTGCAGAGTAACATTTTCCAAAGAATAAACAATGAAAGTAAATATTAGTTGCCAAATATGAGAGCTGAAAAGATAATTAAAAGGAAGTAGATACCCACATCAATAAATATTCATTCTTGGGCAGATTTTGAAAACAGGGAACAAAGGAATACTAACTGAGATGGTGACGATGATGGTCGTGATCATAACTACGAAGATATTGATGATAATGATGATGACAGTTATGACTTTGACTATTACATTTGTCGAATAAGATGACAATCTCCTCAATGCAAGAGAAGGCCCACACGATGCCACCTTTGCCACGCTATAAAACCTGCGAATGGCATTACGTGGCAACACGGAAGCGAATAGTTTAAAAGAAATCACGAACACTTAAAATCATTCTATAACTTCAGAATATGTCATTGGAAGCGAATAGAACAGATCACTAAAAATTATTCTTGGACGGCATTAATAAAAGGGAAATGCTAGTCGATAATGACGATGACAATGAGGATGGTGATGACGACGGGAGCGTTGATATTGGAGACGATATTAATAAATATTGAATAACTTATAACGACGATAATATTGAAAGAAAAAAGCTGCACAGCCACAACAGCACAGCGCCAGCAAACCCCGAGAGGTAAGGCGTGATGAGGCACACTCCGTGGGCAAAATATTTGAACAGAAAACATTAACTTTAAAATTGGCATGTTAACTGAGAATACGTTAGAGAAGAGGAATTTAAAACACAAATAAAAAATGAACACCGAGTTTTAGAGTAAGTAAAGAGCTAAACGATCACCGGGGTGTAGAGATGATAACGGTGACGACCATTGTAACGATATTGATGGTGACGATAATGGTAACGGTAATGATGACGATGTTGACAATGAAGATGACAACGGCGATGACTAAGTGATAGGAAAGGAGCACTACTACTAAGATGACTTGAATAGCAGAAGAACACAGCGCGTAACCTCCACAACACAAAAAACCACAGCTAATGGCGCGGCGCAGAGACCGCGTGAGCGAAAGGTTTAAAAAGAAAACAACCACCCTCAAAATTCACTTCATCAACTGAGAATAGGTAGGTAAAATGGAATATAAAACAATAAAAAAACTTAATACCAAGTTTTAGAAAAAGAGAAACGATCACGGTGGTAATGATGGATGGAGATGACGGTAACGACGACGACGATGACGATATTGACGGTGGCGATAATAGCGACGGAAATTATCATAACTGTAATGGTGATAATGTGACAACAGAGATGATAACGATAACAATAGCAATCACTGACGATGACGATAAGACATTTACAAAAGCGGTAATAACGATGATAGTGACAATAATGACGACGATAGCGACGATGACAATGACGATAATGACGATGACAATGACGATGTCCATGACGATGACAATGACGATGACAATGAGGATGACAATGGCAATGACGATGACAATGACGATGACAATGACGATGACAATGACGATGGCAATGACAATGACGATAACAATGACGATGACAATGACGATGACAATGACGATGACAATGACAATGACGATGACAATGACGATAATGGCGACGGCAATGACCATGTCAACGGCGAAGAATAATATATGAGGAAGAAGACGAGCGCGACTACAATGACAACAACAGTTGCGACGCAGTCTCATCGCGGGCGACGCAGCGCCACGCCGCGCGCAGCTTCCGTGCCTCAAAAACTCCCCGAGCGGGCGAGCGGGCGGTGCGGCGACCGCGTGGGCGAAAAGTTTGAAAAGAGCGCGCTCCACGGGAGCTCCGCCCCGCGGCCTCGGCCCCTCCCACAACGCCCACGCGCGCGCGCGCGCGGTCGGCGCCCGGCGGGGGCATTCCCGGCTGCGGTCGCCCCCCCCGCCCCCCCCCGCCCCCGCGCCCCGCGCCCGCCCGGTCGCCCGGCTGCGGGCCTATTACTACGCGCGATGCACCGGCACTTCACGCGGTGGCGGCTGGGCGGGGCCGTGCGCAACGGGGCGGCTTCGACTGTCGTAGCTGGGAAGTACTCCGTATTGGTACTTAACATAGAGGTAAGGTTTAAAAAGAAACTATTTTTGACAATAACATTTTAATTGATTTTATTGCATTAATTACAATTCGGAGGAATTTTTGTCTTCTTCTTCTGATAATTTATTATTTTATCCTTAAAAATGGTATGATATTCTTGTAGTATTCTCGTAGTCTGTTAGTAGTGCAGTTATCCTTAACAGATTCAACACTCGATCATGAGTAGATCGTCATTTTTGTTCTTTCCAAAGAGAGTTCCACTCCAAATTTTTTAAGGCTAAAATTGTAAATTTGTCTGATGAAAGAGACAAAACTTCCTTTCCAAACATCATGTTTTATCTTGTACACTATGTAATAATGAATGGAAAGTATTCTGTAGAATTCTTTGATATACGAATATATTGTCCAAATTTTCTCCTCCTAAAAATATCGCAATATCAATATTTTCCTTGTTCTCGACACAAAAACAACCATTCGATTATTTAGTTGAAGTTGAAAAACGAAAATTAGAATTATTTCATTGCTATGTTTTAGGGACATGCAGCCACCACTTCACGCAGCTTGCACTCCGCGTCGGGAGCGGGTGGAGGTGTGGACTGCTGCTCAACGCTTGGGCGTAGTTTGGAAAGTATGCTGTAGAATTCTTTCATATACGAATACGTTCTTACAACTTTCAATTATGTACAATATCAATTTTTTCCTTGTTCTTATCACAAAGACAACTATTCTATTATATAGTTGAAAATGAAAATTATTTCATTGCATATTTTATTAATGACATATATCTTAATGAGGAGATATACTTACGAAAATACTCTCGTGAAAACGAAAATAATCTCTTGTCCAAAACAAAAACAACTATTCAATTACTTTCTCGAAAATGAAAAATGAAAATTATTTCATTGGTGTATTACATTAATGTGGTGTATCTTAAAGAGGAAGAGTTTACAAAAATAATTCGTGAAAACAGGCGTTAAAAAAAGCATCCGTCTGTGCACTACCTCTATAATGTAATATTTTGCTATGAAAACAAACGACTCAATCAACAAACGACTCCCACTGCCTGGCATATTGGTTTTCATCATGATCAAGAAGTATCAGCAAAACATAAGTTACATCAACAAAAACCCATCATCATCATCAAACCCATCAATTTGTATTCTTAATGGCCATAATCATCATAAAAATCATCATTAGACCACGCTTCCGCACTTTGTATATCCGCAGCATAAACCCATTATCAAGCTTCAAATAGGCCAGTACCATTTCCTTACTATAACCAAAAAAGCTCATTGGTTTGTCAATCGTACAACACTACACTGAATTTCAAATAGACTGCATGGAACAGCATATAAAATACTATCTTTCTGCAAAGCTTTTCACTCCATACCTCAAATTTCTCACCTAACCAACTTTTAGACTCCGAAAAAATCCAATCGCAGAACCAAAACTGAAAATTAGACATCCACATCAAGCAATCGTTGTCAAAGTTTCCCATCTACATCACTTTAAGAGGTGAATGAAGAAAATTTCCTCAAGCAAATCCTTTTGAACAGTAATTTTTGGTAAATTTCTATGTAAACGTTCCCTAGTCATGTCAAGTTTATTGCTTGTACTATGTAGAATGTATGCACTGTAAAAAGTAATATTAATAAAAAATAATACTGCTTAGAGAAAAATCACTAGGGGTCCATTTGCCGATCATGTCTCCCTGCATGTTACCCGACATATTCCCCATGTTCTAAAAACCCAAAATACCCGTAAGTGCGGAAACCCCAAACACGTAAATAAAGGGTTATGACAATTTTCTTACAAAAAATGCAATCTCAACCAAAAATACTTTTCAGATCATTATTTTAAAAACAGAAAATAGCTTCACACTAAAACCAAACTTCCAGCGTTTTTGACAACTGCTTTATTGAATGAGGTATTCCAAATATATCATGAGTCTTATCAACTAACTTCTTAGTTCTTTCTCTTTATAAAGCTCTTTGATGTAGGACCAAGAGTAATTCCCTAACATTAATTAATTCAATACTAAAGGGTTTTGTGCCTTTGTTTTCTTTAAAATGTCAAAATATCATCTTTTCTTAGCGTACTATATATACGAGACTCACCACGTAAAATAAGGTATCAATTCTATTCAATTCATTAGTAAATATAAAATGGATTATAAAAATAAAAGGGATGTTTGGTCACGTCAGAACTAATTGCTTACTGCACTGCCACCAAAAGAGCGTGCGCATTACACGCAGCGACTCGGAGAGAGTACAAAAACTATCCTTAGGTGATGAAGAGGTTCTCTTGTAGCATATTATTGGCAATTAAGAAGCCCTGTTAACCTTGCGAATATAAGGAACGATTAATTACGATATAATGGCACCTAATGTAAAAGGATGTATACACTGTTAAACCACAAATAACTGTTGTGTAATAAGATAAAACAGTGATTCATTGCTGCAGTTTCTATTTTACTGCGAGTGCCATTTGCGTAATATCAAAATGAACAAATTTTGTTGACCCCTTGACAACAATGCCATTAAAATAATGAAAACGAGTTTCGTTGGTGTAAAAATTAGTATTGTTCTTTCAGTGTTTGATTTTAACTTTCGATCTTTTAAGTACTTAATGGCAAGATGCAGTGAACGAAATAACCTTTGGTACTCAGGGTAGAATAGACTACTAATTCAAAAACGTTTGTGCCTTGATTCTTATCACTACCTCTGCTGTGCTTAACTCATTTCTTGCAATAAAATCTTATTTTCCTTCTCTTATAAATAAGAATGTTAAAACAATAGTTTATAATTTATAATAAAGAAAGTTAACATTAAAAAACAGTGATTTGATTTGATTTATTTAGTCAAAAACAGCAGAAACTGTACGTGACATATGAGGGATAAATTTAACTGCCACGTTTTCTTGAGTTCCAGAACCCCTTCCCAGCATTTTAACAATGAAAGATAAATATAATTTTTAAATAATAATAATAATAATAATAATAATAATAATAAGTGGAGTCTACTCTTTTACTGCTATCTTACGGTAAAAATATTATTTTTAATATAGTTACGAGAACATCATGAAAACTTATTGGGAACAAAACAATTTGAAATATGAAAGAATTTGACTTAAATACGATTAATTTATTAATGATGTACTATATATCTTCCTTACACACTATTTGACTTATTTATTATGTGTAGATCTCTTTATATTCCGTAATATTTAGTTGTTTGAAGTCACAGCTGTTGAATCAACCTGTATATCCAGAATAATAGCGCATATATATTTGACGTAAATAAGAAAGGAGTAGTGTTGTTGTAAATCATGGTGTCCGTGACTCATATCCAGCAAAGATGCTGGATAAGGGAGCTTGATTCTTTCATTATTAAGTCAAAGTCTTCCACTTCCTACATGTCTACTTCTAACCTTCTTACTTGTAAATGATCTTGGTTGTCTGGGTGACGCCGGGTCGAAAGCTGTGTTGCCGACCACTCCCGCGCAGACTAGCCCTGAATAAGACCACGATAAGATGGTCGAAACATAGGAAACACAGCCTTCGACGAGGTGTCACCCGGTCAGCCAAGATCATTTACATGACTACGGCCGAGGAAGCCTACGACTTCAACATTCTTACTTGTTCAAGTCCACTTATTAGAGAATACGACATTAATATTGAAACATTAACAAAAAGTAGTGGAGTAATACCGGATATTCTCGAAGCTTCTCATTGAATTCAAAGATCATCAACCAGTCATTTTGGATCTAAACAGGTTATCCATCTGCTACGTTCGTAAAAGCTTGTAGTATGAGGGAGATCAAACAAAATACAGTCGATTTTATATTAGTACAATTATGTGTGTACATTCTCCGTAGTTTCCGTGTATTCGTATCTTGGAAATTTTGCAAAATTTTTGTTTCACCATTTTTGAATAACCTTCTTTAATTATTTGTTTCAGATTATCACAGCATTTCCCGGACAAATGGAAAATCAAATGAGAAATCTTCTCAAAAATGTATTTAAGAAATCTCACACGAGTTGCATCGAGTCCTGGTGCAGTTTTAAGACTTTAAGGCAAAACAATAAATGGACTAATTCACGACGAGTATGGCGGACTATCGAGGTGAATGATTGAACTGGGAAGAAGACTTTAATATTTTTCTGAAGCGCGGACGTCAAAGTAAGTCACTTCCAAAAAAATAAAGTTTCCCAGAAATATTGTTCAGAGGATGGTAAGTGAAAAATAAATTTTGAAATTATCATAATCGCACTTGTGACTTTAATCTCGTTGAAAAAAGAGCTCTGTGAATATTTTCACATTAGATTGTAACTTACCTGTACATCATTTTCGGTACTAAGATAATCATTGTCTCATGAAATATTATTAAAATAAAGTAAGAATTATTAACACAAACATATATAGTTTAAATATTTCAAAGATGAGTTAATTACAGACAAAAAATTACATGTAATTAAATGAATAATTCTTCAATTCTCAAATCTACAATACCTCTGAAACAAAATGTAGTACCGGACCGCTATTTAACCGTGCTCATGAAAAGAGCCAAGTATTTACATACGAGTAAAGCGAAAGAACACAACTATTAACCGCGAAAAATAACTTCATAGCAACTGCGATAGAAGCGAATAATGAATGCCACAACGAAACAAAAGAAGCAACCAAACCAAAGCCCCAACGTGACCATGACTACAGCGAACCGCCATTTAACCGAGCTCGTCGAAAGAAGCAAGCATATTTACTCGCGGGTAAACCCAAAGTTCCCCACTCACACGATACACTACGCTCCCCCACCCCCCAGGCCGAGAAGCCATTATCGGAACACAGCCGGGGTCTACGAAGGGTTGAAAGCACTAGCGCTCGGCGTGGCGCCCTCAGGGCGTGGAGTGGGAGGGGGAGGGGGCGGGTTGCAGGCGGGGGGGGGGTGGCAACACGAGGCTAGATGGAGTTGCTCCCCGTCACCCTGTGAATACGCCGGGAGGCAGGGGGAGGGCGTGTGAGGCGGGCGTGCGGGCGCGTGTCGTACGAACGCCTGGTCAGCCCACCGCCCGCCCGCCCACCGCCCGCGCATGTGTGTGGTCGGGGTTATCGCGAATGCTCTTTGAGCGGCGCGCTATTCCGCCTCACCCCCTCCACACACACGTGCTACGCCCCCCCCTCCGCCCCGAACGCCGTGCCGCTCGCGTGTGCAGTTGGAGGCCCGAGTTGTCTGTTGCACTGGATGATGGGGTCGTGTTGGATGGAGATTGCCGTGTCCTCCGGCAGGATTAGGGTTTTCACCAGAGTCTGCAGTGAAAGGGAAAATGTCAACGCGAGAAAGATTGACTGCATTTTTTTCTGTCAATCGTTTGTGGAGAGAAAAAACTTAAATGAGCACTTAATTCCATATTAATGGACAATCATCTAATACTTGAATTAATTACTGGATAATTATACACATAAAATAGTTTGAATTGATGGAGGTTATATGTGGAAGAGTGCAGTCATGAAAATTAATGAAAAGTGTATAAATAACTAATATTTAGTTTAACTAGAAATATGTGAATATTATTCCTGAAGCAATTCCCATAGTTGTATTTGATAAAAAAACTCAAACTCGTAAGCTGGTAGCATTAGATTTTATAAAAAATATCCTGACAAGTGTCCAAAAGCCCATTCCCAAGAAAACTTCGCATGCTCCACATTTAGAATCACACCGCTCATTTCGTCTGTATGCGGTGTATACGAATTAGTAACATGAAGCTAACGCAGTACAATGTTCAAATACTCACCTCACAAAGCGTGTCACAATGAGTACAATTTCAACTCTTCAGCATTTACCAGTGCCTCTCATACAATTATCTTGAGAGAAATCCAGAAGATGAAACTAAATAGTCCTCCTGAAAAATACAAACATGAGACCATTTAAGATTCGTTTTCATACAAATATCTTGGCATAACTCCCAAAAAATACCAGAACTAGGTTCAAAAAAAAGTTCCTGAATAATCCTAATTAATAATCATTTAGGTTCGTGTTTCATAAAAATACCCTGAACCTGAATCATAACTTATACGCTTTTAAGCGTTTCCTGCATATAAAAATATCCCGTGATAATTCCCGAAGAAAATCCAAATACTGTGGCGAAAAAAACGTCCGTTAGCAAACCAAATTCACAAGCATTTATATTTGTACACAAACATCCAAGGATTAATCCAAGACAAATTCTAATTTTTCGTCTGGTGAAACCTCCATGAAAAATCTTAACTAGTAAGCATTTAGGATCAGTATCCATACAAATACCCCGAGATAAATCCAGGGAAATACAAACGCTCTTGCCAAAGAAACTTCCGTGAGTATCTAAACTCATTAGCATGTACGGTTGGGTTTCATACAAACATCGCACGATAAGTCTCAAGACAAATTCAAACACTACAAATGAACAAACATATATGAGAAATACTAATTTGTAAGCATTTAGGCTAATTTTTTATCAATCATCTGAAGATAACTCTCGAGGCAAATCCAATCACTTCGTCTTCTCAATGAGAAATCTTCAACTGGTCAGCATTTAGGATCGGCATTTATACAAAAATCCCGAGATAAACTTTGAGGGAAATCCAAACACACTTGCCAAAAAAACCTCCGTTAGTAATCTAAACTCATAAGCGTGAAGTCTTGTCTTTCATACAAACATCACAGGATAGTTCCCCAGGCACATCCAAACTCTGTGTCTGAAGAAACCTCCACGATAAATCCTAACTGGTAAGCATTTAGACTAAACTATTATACAATCATCTCAGGTTAAATACCGAGACAAATCCAAACTCTTCGTCTGAAGAAACCACCATGAGAAATCCTAATTCGTAAGCATTTAGGCACCGCTTTCATACAAACATCTCAGGATAAATCCCGAGACAAACCCAAACACTCCATCTGAAGAAATCTCCATGTGAAATCCTAAATGGTAAGCATTTAGGCCCGGCATTCATTCAAATACCCCGCGATAAACCCCCAGGGAAAGCCAACCCTCCGGCCCGAAGAAACCTCCCTTAGAGGCGAACGCCCGCGTCGGTCGTTCCGTCCGCAGGGGGAGGCAGGCGATTTTACGCCGACGCACCCGGCGCTACGCCGCCACCTAGAGCGCGGGCTAGCTGCCGACCGGCGGCCGTCCCTCCATTAAAATTAACCCTTCCCTCAACGGCCTCCGCCTCCGCCAGCGCCGGGGGCGGCAGGGGTGCGCAGGGCGCGCCGTTATTTATTCACGGTGGGGGAGGCGTGAGAGCGGGGAGCGAGGGGGGAGAGAGGGAGGGAGGGGGAGCGGGGCAGTATATGAGGCTGGCCCCCAAACGAAGTCCGAGATCCGGCGATCGAATGGCGGAGCGAGCGGGGGTGCGAGTGCGAGCGGAGGAGCGGACGCCGCGGGGAGTTAAATCAGTGCACATGCCCCGCCCGCCCCCGGACACGGTCCCCCCTGCATGGGCAATACTCACGCGTGCGGTGTTCCAGCAGTCTCGTGACGACGACGTCCCCCAAGCGCTGTTTGCTGCAACGACGCAGCTTGTTGAGTGTTAAATGAATCTTTTGTTACGACCCGAAAACACTCCATTCTCCCCTTGTCGTTGGTTGTGATTGAGTGATCCGGGTCCGGGCAACTCAGTCGATCCATTTTGCGTAAAGTATAGTGCAATCTTCATCGTAAATGGTCTTATTCCTTCCGACGGACGAATTGTTGGCATCCGGGAACTGACCTAGGCCAAGTCGGCGTGCATTTGTTCGTCCAATTCGAGGTATAATACTTTCACCAGTATCTATGCCAGACCGCGAAACAAGCGATAAGCTCAGGGCTGTGCCGCCAACAAGTACGATAGGTTGATAGTAAGTAAAGGGGGAGATAGACATTACTTAAGCAAAGAATACGCCGTCCGTGGACCCGTTTGTAGTGAACAAACTACAGCCTTCGCCTAATGTTGATCGGAGAAACCACGTAAAAACTATCCACTCAGAGCTGCCAGCCGCTAAACTTCTCCTCCAGACCAGATCTGATTCCATGTAGCAAGTGTTGAAAATCCTACCACTTCGCAAGTTGGACCTTTGGAGGCCTTCCCGGTCAGATGGCCACGTGCGAGTGACATCATTAATGCCACATGAGTCAGCCTAGCGCCGATCCAAGCAGTTGTGTTCTAGCGTGGAGGTCGCATGGTTGTAAGATGGGGCGATGAAGATTTTTCATCACACCCTGAGAAGGAATAGTTATGAATGGATTATAATGATATGATTTAATCAGAAATTATGACGGTGGTAATGTAAGTATTTTTGAGAAATGAACAATCTTCATAAACTCTCAGCTGACAACGCCAACACCACAAATGCACAAGGATTCGACAGTATAGCTCTATACACCAAACGTGGAAGGAACGGTCTGAGTTATTTTGACGGGGCCAGTTTAATAAGTAAACTGATACCTGGTCATGAACAAAAAAGTACTACTGATAGGTATGATATAATGAAAATTATGTTTTGAGTGTAAGCCGGAGGGTAGAGTGGATGCGTTGACACCAAGGAGAACTCCAAGAAACCTGCAGATTCCCTTTGCCACCACAAATTACCACGACATGTAGGGATTTGTTGGAACGTTTGCAAAGAGTGATTCTAATAAAAGCAGAAAGCCTCGGGACACCACCCAGTCTTACTACAATCAAGTCTCGCGCTCTATTTCAAACTAAAGCTACATGTCTTCGAAACTCTTACCGCTACGCTACCCCGCTGACGTGAAATCACCCTTTCAAGAGCGTCGCCCCTCAGTTGCAACGCCTGTGGGGGTAGGCACTTATGGGTTTAATAAAACAAGATGTTTAACATCTTTTTAGGTATACCAAAAAAACCGTAGGATTATGACAGGAAGACAACAGGATCGGGGTAGCTCAAGAGTTCAGGCCCTTGCAGCATCCCGTCTCGTCCCCACACACTTCGTCTCAGTATCCTACAGCCAGCCTAAACCATACCTTGCCGAATCTGCTCGCCGATGCAACCCAGTTCGCGCACTTGAGCCGCACCGTTTCCAAGGTGCGCCCTCGGCGCTGCAACCCTTTGCCCCTCTGGGACGCGCGGGGAAGGCGGGGGCTTGGGTCGAGGTGAATGGCAGCTCAGGGGGGCGGACCCTACGCGACCATTGAGGGCGGGGGGGAAGGAGAAGGG